ATGTAAATCACTGTTTTTATTTTACTGTGAACACAGTAATATTATTGTGGATTTTTCCTGAGAAAATCTTTCATTTATCTGGACTAACAGAAGGTTCAGAACTGATTATAAAACAGAAATGTTAATTAATCATCATAAATATTTTGCAGTGATTTCTCTTAGTCTATCAGAAGAAAGCTGGTATGCTTGGTGGCAGGTATTGGTGTTCGTATACAATGATTTGTAAAATTTTGCAAAGGCCTCTGCTATTTTGTCAGATTTTGTCTCAACCATCTCTTGGAATTTTATTTTATAGACCATGTTGGAGGATTGTTGTTTCCTCAGTCTGAATGCCAAYAGCCTACTAGCCTTCTGACCATATTCATAATATTTTTGGTTGGTAAACCTCAAATTGCCCTCTACTTTATCTGACAATAGGCTGTTAAGTTGTCTGCGGGTTGCATTAAATTCCTTAATGATTTTAGCTGAAGCGAATCTTTTATGTTTAAACTCTAATTCTTAAATTTTGTCCTCCAATTCTTTTTGTTTAACATTCTTCTGTTTTTTTCCTCGCGGACGTGAAGGAAATTATGAGGCCCCAAAGGAATGCTTTGGCACAGTCCCATATTATCAGAGGTGTTGTTTCTGTAGATATATTAGTTTCTAGATATGTCTTGAGCTCCTCAGTAAAAAATGCAATGAATACTTTGTCGTTAAGCAGGGRTGTGTTAAGCCTCCATTGTTTAGATATTATCCTGTGTCCTATGTCCCATTTCAATACGACAGGTGCATGATCAGAAATGGTAATAGCTAGTATTTCTATATCTACTAGTCTATGCAGCTCTGACTTTGGGGTAAAGAAATAGTCGATCCTAGAGTAGGATGCATGCCTACTTGAGTAGAAAGTAAAGTCTTTAGTTCTGGGAAACCTGCTTCTCCATACATCTAGCATTCCTGTCTCTATAATCTGATATTTAAGYATCTTACTCATTCTAGAGAGTGGAGTTTTTGGGATAGGTAATCTGTCCAATATCTGTGACAGAATACAGCTGAAGTCCCCGCCCATCAGCAGCAGCCTAGCACTGTGCTGTAATATTACCTTAAACAGTGACTTTATAAATTCAGGTGCATCCGTATTGGGTGCATACACATTTACAAGTGATACTTCTATGCCATCAACTGTACCATTAACCAGTACATATCTACCCTCTGTATCTCTATGTAGCAACGTTTGTGTGAAATTAATCTGCCCGTGTAAAAGTATGGCAACACCCTTTTTATTCCCTGAATGATGGGATGAATAGAAAACCTTATCTGCCCAAGATCTTTTTAATTTTTCATGCTCTGTATCAGATAGATGGGTTTCTTGCAAAAAGGTTATGTGACAATTAATTTGTTTTAATTGATTCAATATTTTCTTTCTCTTCACTGGATTGTGGAGCCCTTTTACATTTTACAGTGGTTTGCAAAAGTATTCATACCCCTTGAACTTTTCCATATTTTGTCACATTACAACCACAAACATAAATATATTTCACTGGAATTTAAT